TTGCAGACTGAAAAATGGAGAATGAAGTAAGTGAGAACATGAAAGGGCCTACTTAAAGGCGCACTTCACTTCCGTTTAACATTCTGCCCGGTGTCCAAAACCAAAGGAATAATTTAGCTTGTGCACTCACCCTCACTCGACAATCGCTTGTGAAGTAGGCTCCTTTATGTTCCAACACTTCGTGGAATCAAATTATATCACATTAAAATGTTATTAGTTTAAAACACATTAAATAAATGTAAGTCTGGGCCGGCACATGAATATTTAAAGCTCACATCACACGCTGAAACAGAAGAAAAAGGGGGTGAGGAGGGCTAACAGTTCATCGTATAAATACTGGTAGAAACAGAACAGCCTACATGTAAACTTTCTTTAGCAAAATATTATGACTTACAAATTATGGTATTGTTAAATTTAAAAGGCAATGTAAAAAGAAATGAACTGGCTTGCACCTGTTTTCAGTGTTAAACAATCGGCATGCCAGCAAATCTCTTCAATGCTCCATTTTGGATTCTTAGGTAATAGTGGATTGCTGGGACGTGTTGACAAATTTTAAATACAACTGACTGCCCGTTTTCCATATTCATATATTGCGAATATAACTCCAGGAGAGTGAATTTCATCTCAAAATTCTCCAGGAGTTGCCTTCAAATCGTGTCTCGGTGCATACGTATACGGCAAACCCTTGACGTCTGCCATGTGTACCTGCGCGCAGGAAGCCAGTTATGGAACTGAATTTAATTACTAGATTTGAGTTGAAATGAATCCATCCAAACGACCCCGGTCTGCTCTCTTCGAGGCTTTCCTCAATAACAGTTTTAATTAAAGCAAGAAAAGCAGTAAAGTAAAACAACAGCAGCAATAACCCACCACGAGCACCAGGTTCCCCGAACACAGACCCATCGTGTATTCCAGCGCAACTCTAGTATTTCCGGGTGGCGAGTCGCTGGCACATGGTGCTCCAGCGAACCAGCAGCCGGAGCTCGAAGCCCTGTAGGCGCAGAGGACCCCACAGGCAGCCGAAATGAGTGTTTTGACCCAAACCAGTCTTCGGTCCCTTTCTGCCGCGGGAGCCGCCTGAAACCCCCGCGGCGGCCACCGGCCCGCGCCGCGCGCATTTGGCGCTCGGCGCCCGGGGAGTTGCGGGTGGAGAGGCGCCCCCATCCATCCCGGCACCGCCCCTAGGCAAGCCCCAAGTTTATGCCGCAAGGGACCAACTCGCCGCGACTCGGCATCCACCCTCAATCCTGACGCCGACCAGGCCGGGCAAACGAAGCAGGGCGGGGCCGGGCATCAGGGGCGCCGCCTGCCGAAGATGCGGTGCCACGTGCGCGCTGTGCAGACCAGGAGTCCTGCGAGTCCAGCTCCGGCCACAGGCTCCCGCAGAACCGGGCCCCCAGCTTTAGGGCGGGGCCTCTTCCTCGCCTCCCGCCTGGACGTCCGCTCCCACCCACGCTCAGCGCTGGCTCCTGCGCGGAGCCCCAGGGCCAGAGTCGTTCGCTCCGGCTTCTCCCGGGGCCCGCGCAGAGGGAGGCCCGGAGGCGGACTGCGATGGCCCAACCTTTGCTGGACTCCGGGCTGGGGGTTTAGGGAGGGGGAGCGCCGGGCCGGAACTGAGCCCCCGTCCCGGCTCCACGCGCCCTGGACCCCACACGCCCTCCCCTGGTGTTTCCTGGCCGAGTTACAGAGCCCGACCTTGGCCCCTCGCCTTCCGACGTCGGCCTCCCCCTCCCTTGACTGCGGCGTCCGAGCTGGAGGGAAGCTCGCAGCGTGCCTAGGCCAACCCCTTCTGCGTCTCTTTTCTTTTCCTGTCACTCTCTGTTCTCGGTTTCTGCTTTCTCCCTCTCACAGAATGCCAGAGCGCGGAGGGGCCTGGAGGAGCCTCCGCACCAGCCCCTTTTCTGGGCCTCCACTCTGCCTTTCCCCGGTCTCGTCTCTCCCGTTCTGTATTTCCTTCTTTCTCTATAGACTCTCCTTGTATTTCCCTGCCGATGTAGCCTGCAAGTCTCTCTGCCTCTAAATTCGCCTCTCCTTTTCTCCCTGGTGCAGCATTAAACCAACCAAGGTGTGTCGAGGTTGGAGGAGTCCCGGCGGCGTGGACGGAAAGAACGGCTTATTCTGTCCTCGGAACATTTCCGGCCACTACAGTTTGGCTCCCCTGGAGGCGGCGCGGGCGCTGGCTCCGCCACGCAGGCCGCTGCCACCAGGCGCCGGCCCGCTCGCTCTCGCTCTCTGGCTGTGCGCGCGTGTGTTCGCGTGTGGATACGTGTCTCTATGGCCTCGAACCAGGGCGGGATCTCCAAACCGAAAGCGGAGCGGGGCTGGGTATCTGGGGTTCTAGGACTGCGGGCAAGCGAGATGAGGGATTTTCCTGGGATCCCGATGCCAGTCTGCGCCCAGACCCCACGCGCTCTGGCCCCTCGACCCGGATCTCCAGGGCCGCGGCGCCAATTCCGTGTCCTCCGAAGTGGTCCGTCACCTGGCTCCGCAGCGGGGAGCCGCCTCTCGGACCAGCGCTGCGGGAGTCGGGACGGTCCGAAGCGCGCTTGGCGGGCGCAAGGGGGGACCGACTCAACAGCGGGCTGGGTGGGCAGGGACTCGGCGGCCGGGCCTGGGTGCCCGCGAGGGGGGCTCTGAATTCTGGCCCGAGCGCCGGCGCCGCGGAACCTGCGGGTTGTGGCTGCCTGCGGGCGCCCCCTCGGGAACGCACGTTTGTTTCGCGCAGGTCCGGAGCGCGTAGAGCGCGATGCGGTGGCGCCGGGGCCGGGGGTTTCCGAGCACCGCGAGCCCGCCGCTCGTGAGGCTTGGCCTAGTTTTCTGGCCCTTCCTGGGTGCGGGCAGGAACAGAGTAGTGGCTGGTGGTCCCCCCATCTCAAAGCCCTCCAAAAGCCAAAACACGCACGCACAACTCACCAAAGCATCCCACCGACACAAACACTAAAGCCAAGCCATGAAAACACAACCTCAACCCCGCATCCAAACGCACAGGTCGTAAAAACAATATCCTAATCGAGCAAAACAAAACACACACAAACACTAAACTCACCAACGCAACGCACACAAACGACACCCACTAAAACGCAATCAAAACACCTCAAAACACCGCGCAGAAGGAAAAGCCTTGCAAACGACCCGCAAAAAGACAGCCTACAAGCACAGGGTACAAAAACCACACAGAGTCAAACACACAAGACAAAACAAAATCCACCCCAAAGACCAAGACTCACAGAGCAAAACCCGCTAAACTCAATTCCACGAAAATACAACAGGGAAGACACCCGAAACAAAAGGGTCTCTCATCGATAATGAAAAGAAAACTCACAGAAAACAAGCAAAAACAAAACAAACCCCCTAAATGGAAAAAAGAAAACAGGACTCCAAACAACCCCCGCCCCCAGCCCAGGGTGAAACGTCA